GCTATAACTCACGAACGACTTAAAACAAACGATAATCAATCAAACACGTGTTAGCGCGTGGAATGAGCTTTCCAAAAAGGTATAGCATGATCCGATGCGACGAATAAAACTGGAACTACGCGCTCTCAGCGTCAACTAGCGAAAATACCGCAAGACTTTTTTGACAACCTAATATGTACATATGTATATTACAGTTTCATAGTTTTAGTCTGACTACAACCACAATGAGTACCGCTAAAGCCAAATTGTAGAGAGACCTAAGATGAATGAAATATCTGAGACTATTAATATGACGTAATTTGAGATGATTTTGTGTTATCAATTCTGGTCTCTGTGACTTAGCGTTGTTAGACTGTAGACTTCATTTAACGACGGACATCTAAGGACCAATTGCACAAGAGCTTTGTTTTTATAGGCATCGGAACGCGTATCTGAATCTGAAAGTGTCATAGATCTAACGCAGCGGGTAATTAAAAATTAATAACTGTAAAAATAAAAAACCCTTATTTGTCGATTGAGTTGCCCAGAAGCGCCCGATAAGTCCTGTTCAGTGCCTACTTTTATATTCTTCGGCCATAAATATAAGTTTTGGCTTGATTCGGTATTAGGACTCCTAAATTCATATGTTTTCAAAAACCTCTTCAAATTGTATAACATGAATGTATGGCAAATATTCGAAAAACTGTTTGAAATCGCCCATTTAAAAGCATTTCGAAATCGCTTAACATCGCAAGAGTAATTCAGATGATTATCAAGCATTTTTTGCTCACCCTAGTAGCACACGAATGCGCAGAAACATTTTTTAATCTACTCCTCTACGTCATCATAAAGAGTATAAAAGAGTAAACAAAAATATTAATGGAAAAATTATAGAAAGTTAATTATTAACGTGAAGGCGTGACACATTTAATGGGGCAATTCAAATGGTGATACTAAGTGCACATACACTCATACATATGTATGTGTAAGTTTAGACGAATGCCAGCGATATCAGGCGGCATAATCAAATCAGCGTTATGGAAATATCGGAATTCTGGCATTTGGGATTTATTACCGTTATTTGGCACTTATTTTACTGCCGCTAAGCAAGATTCATTTTAAAACTTTATATGAACAACATTAGAAATTAACTGTTTAAAATATCACCCAGTAAAGTGCGAGGAAAATCTCTTGCGAAACTAAGCTAACTTTTTCGTACTACTACGAATACTTCGAGGTACATACATACTCACTCTACTTGGGCTTTCGCGCTGCCATTCAAGGAAGTTTGCTTTGTCGAACTTAACCCTTAACCCTCTCTAAGTGAAAGAATGTGCTCTGATGGATTCATCGCTTCAAAGACGGCGATTCCGATATGAATGACCGTCAGCGTAAAGTATTTTGGTCTTTCTGGCTTCGAAGATGGTGAATTGGGGAAGAGCTGGCTTCAGTGTTAAGAGTCATCCCACAAGCTATTGATGCAAGTTTCTGAATGATTCTGAAGTAAGGAACTTGGGTTCCTTATGATCTCAGGGGCATATATTTCTATTAAGCACATACTCTGCAAACAAAAGGTTCCTCATCTCCACAACACCTCTTTCTGTATGATTCAATAACTACGTAACCGATACAAAATGTGTCTTATAATCGGTCAAAGTTGGTGAATGCAAGAAAAATTGAACTATTAAGTTTTATTTGATCTTAAAATCCCCTTACAAATAAGTTAACAAGAACTTGTTCATGGATTGAGCCTGAATTTAATTAAAACCAATAACCTATAATAGCAAATTTGGTGAGGATGGTAGGCTTCCCTTCTTCAGCAGGTAATTCGTAGCAAAATTTATCGACGGGTCATCCGATGAAGTCCCTTGATATCAATAGCTGACACTCTTAAACATATGATGTACTTAGATTAGGCTAGGTAGTAGGATTGATCGTAGGCGATGGATCTCGCTTGGCAGCTGAGAACGTTGTTCCTTTGTATAATTTTACCCAAAAACTTTTTAAAAATGATAACCAGATTCTCAAGGATCGGCGATGTGTTTTAAGCTTACTGCAAATTTTTTAAAGCGAATATCCAACTTAGCCCCTTCGCTGGGTTCACTGAAGGTGTGTCTACCGAGATATTTCAGTCTCAGTCTGGCAAAAGCTGGAGTACAAACGAAGTTCCAAAGCGCCTCCAATGGGATAGAATTTGTGTAAGGGTACCCTCCCTAACATCGGCTCATTGGCTTTGCAGTTTTCGGCAATTCCGCTGTGTGTATTTGGGTGCCCAAAACAACTTTACACAGAAGAAGCTTGATGTTATTCTTAATGAGGTCATACACACCTTGCCTAGTTTTGAAAGTACACTCAGTGACCTCAAAGCCGATATAGTCGCTCTGCTATGGGGCGTATGCACACCTCACTGAGAGAACCTTTGCTGCAACCTTGATAGCCTCCTTCGATTGAAGCACACTATAGCCATTTTGTGGTGTAAAGTTGAAATTCATGAAGATGTATTCATGAAAGACATAATATATTATATTGGTGAATCCTTGAACATATTATATATATATAATATATATTATATATGATATAAAAAAAAGATGGAGAAATTTATAAAACTTCGAGGTATCGAATTGTCAACATGTGGCAACTTCAGTGATTCCCATACCTCTGCCATCTATGTTTTTCTTTTGGCGTTATGTATTGACACCCAGCGTCACACTTCGTTTCATGTATGCATATACGGTTTTGCTCGTTTAAGGGCATTTTATGTATCCCTGAACCGATATTATTATCAATTTGTATAAATACATTTTATTAAATTTTAGACTCATGTTAGACAAGTATGTTCATCTTTTTCCCCCTTTAGAGTAAATATGAATATCTGTATAAAGACTTGACCCAAATTTTGTAGATATATAGTACATATATTTTAATAGAACACGATCATTCTCTTCAGGGGTTTCCAATGGATAAAACTCCAATTGTTAAGTAAACTCAAATGGATTTTATTTAATGTGAATCATTCAAATGACCTCTAGGACTTCCTTTGCAGGAACGAATTGGATCAAACCAATTTTCGATTATTTTTTGCACTAAATCAAGGCGTATATCACAAATAGCATTTCTGTTTACTTTGTATGAGGTCAATAACCTTTTTGTTTACATTTAGTCAAGACAGCAACCTTTGTTAACACTTGGTGTCACTGAACCCAATTTTTACAGCTAATGGGGTCAACGACCACTTTATTTACATTTCACGAGGTCAATGACCCTTTTGTTTACATTTTGTGAGGTTAGGGACGCTTTTGTTTACATTTCATGATATCAATGACCTTTTGGTGTACATTTAGCCGAGACAAAAACCTTTGTTAACATTTGGTGACACAATGACCTTTTTGTTCATATTTTATGAGGTCAAGGTGAACAAACTTACATGCTCTGTGGCAATATGTTGTGAGAATATAAGTTTTAGACTACATTTGAGCTTTTGTAGGGAGTCGTATTAGGTTAAGTCAAGATTTTAGAAATGTTAAGCAGTTGATGGATAATATATATGAAAACGCTTCATTTCAAGCGGGAGATCTTTAACGTTAGAGTTATAGTTTTAGTTTAGCACATCCTTAAAACTTGTTGAGCTGTATTTAATTGCTCCAAGGCATAATCAACTTATTGACGACGGTTACGATGGTCCAATGGCTCCAGTGCTTGAGTGAGAGCACGGATATCGAAATCCGCCTGGTTGTGATTTGAGACAGTACCAATTCTTGAGAAAGTCTTATAATCAACAAACTGCGGTCTTCAGCAACACTTGCCTGAACGGTAAAATTTCATTACTTCGAGCAGATAACTTTGTCTTCTTGGCACTGGAACATTATGTAAAGAAAATGACGCTCGAAATTTT